GATATTTCCAGTTATTTTTCGAATTTATTCCGATTCGAAGGGTGTCTTCAAGGGCATGATTTAACCTCAGCATTTTTTGCCTGCTGCATGAGCTTTCTTATTATTACCTTTTGAAAGAACTTTAAAGTACCCGTTTATATTGCTTTTTCAACCGAATTTTGATTCCAATTGATAAAAGTTTTGTTATTTTCGTGATCAACACAGTTTTTTTTTGGACGCGCTCAACATCCTAAGTTAGACGAAAGTGACGTTTTCAAATGAGCCAAGTTCTCTTGTTAAACCAGCACTGCGAATTCCTTATTCCAAAGGAGGAAAATCTCATCCTTTTCTTCTTCATGCAGTTAATCCAAATTAATCCGTTAATTGTGATGACGCAACGAGGAAAAAGGAAGAAAGGCCAGACCGGATGGTGAGTTGCATAATCATTGATCTATAGAAAGCTATCTTAAGTCTAAACGTTCTTAGGCAGAATGATCATGCTGCCCTACTAGCATGTGTTAACTGTTTGCAATTTTTTTTTTCAAAAAATATAAATTTTCTACCTATTTTGACTTTCATAAAGCCAGTGTATGTAACCGGCCATAACATACTCGATCGGGCTTAAAGTAAAAGCATTAAACCCGGAGAAATGCTGTTTTATTTCTTAGATAACCGTACGACTTGAGATGACATAATTTTATTATGTTGTATAATTAAGCGAAAGTTTGACAAATGGAATGCAATAAAATCCATCCATAAGAATCATTAATCAACTAGCCACAAATAACAACTAAGTCAAATGACCTTGTCAAGGTTACAAGTTGATCCAATTTGCTTCAATTATGATTAAGTTAAAAAAAAAACAAAAAAACATCATAATATTGAAAAGTCTTACTTTTATTTCAAACCTAAGTTGCATAATTAAACTTTGAATTATATAAATGATTTGCAATAAGCCCAAAATATTTTTCTATTATACAATCCGCCAGAGACTGCGTCACTTGGTCGTTTGCAATGTAAAATATTTGTTGAATTTTGTATGTGATTCAAAAACAAATTCAAGAAACAACAACAAACAATAGGTGCAAAAATAAATTAATTTAAAAAAATATATCGACACCAACAAAAAACTGATTAATCTGTATGATCTTTTATTGTAAAGACTAGGTAGTATAAGCTTTAACACCCACTGTTAGTAGTAATTATTAGTATTATACACAAGAATGTGACTACATTCACTAATTTCGTGGTCCGCTTGACCAATTAATTATTACAATTAATTAAGGTTTTTAGTCGAGATAAAAAAGTCAATGGCACGAGCGGGATTCGAACCCACGATCTTCGGCTAGATACGCCGCTGCTCTACCACTTGAGCTATCGTGGCCTCGTTCCACTCGGACACTAACTTCCCATGGGTTCGAATCCCGCTCGTGCCATTGACTTTTTTATCTCCACTAAAAACCTTAATTAATTGTAATATATTAATTGGTCAAGTGGACCACGAAATTAGTGAATTTAATGAATTAAAATGAAGTGTACTTCACTTAAGCTCTCCGTGGCCATGTCATTTGTCGCCGAGAATCCAATCCGATTACACGACATTGAAAAATGGCAAAAAGGAGGGATAATTCAAAAGGTGGGGTAGAGATAGGAAGTTGATGTCCGAGTGGATCGTGGTCTCGATAGCTCAAGTGGTAGAGCAGCGGCGAATCTAGCCGAAGATCGTGGGTTCGAATCCCGCTCGTGCCATTGACTTTTTTATCTCGACTAAAAACCTTAATTAAATGTGACTACATTTGAATTGAATATTATTACAAAAAGACAACGTCACCTTCATTGTTCTAACTGTATCAGTATTGACTATTACTACAAAAACAACGAAACCTGCAAAGATACTACTTTTGAACTGACTATTACCCCAAATTTAACGTCACTTATAAAAATATCTGACTACTATGAGTTGAGTATTGATTGAAGCAATTTTGTAATTTAAAACGTAAAAAAAATAACTAAAACAATGAATCTGATTTGACAATTATGTTTATGCAAGGCATGACTCTTAAATGACTATCAGTACACAGACGCTATCAAAAATAAACGCTTATTCTTCCACTATTTTAATTGATTAGGGAGGCGAATCTGTTGTCAGTGAATTACTACCAATGAAGTGAGTATTTAGTACTAATCGAAAAACGTAGTACTAATCGAAGTCATAATTACTTCAGAATTGACTATTCGTTGCATAGCCACTATTATCTCATAACTGACTGTTACTATAAACACAACGTCACATCCAAGGGCCTAATTTATCTGAATTGACTATTAATATAGAATGTATGGCCAATTGAAGTAGCAATTAGCTTAAAACTGATTATTAGTTCAACACCACTATCTCTCAATTAGCTAGTTATGCAAAGACATCATCAACAACAAAGATTTAATCGATCTGAATTGACTACTTTTTCATAATTAACTATTACTGCAGTCATCGTCTAGATCTACTTAATCTGACTATTACTACAAAACGCAAGACTAATTGGAGTCTTAATTATCGTAATTTTTAGTATATGTACCGCCGAATTTTGCTCCCTACAGGGGGAGTTGGCCGCCAGATTTAAAATGGGTTCTCGGGCACAGCAGCGAGTTTCAGCGTCCCCTGTTACGCATTTTAAGGGAATTATGCTTTTTTTTTTTATCGGATGTAAAAGTTAAATTATGTATTTTCTGTTTCCGCGTTTTGTATGAGAAAGTGTATTTATTAGAGTGAATGGGGAATGGGTCATGGTGAAATAGCATACCCATCGCCCCTCGAGAAGTGTGCGTGACTTAGATCGATGGCGGAATATTTATAAAAATACCCCATCGACCGCAATTAGTTAGTTTGTAATTGTATGCGGTACGATGGAGGAATATTAAATACTGCATCTACTAAATAGGATGTACATGTGTGAAGGTTCAATTCCAACAAGAAAAATATTTATATGTGACTTCTTTGTAATAAAAGCAGTAAACAGATCGTAGATTTTTACAGATGGCGTTGTCTTTGTAGTAATAGTCAATTTGGAAATCGTTGTCTTTGTAGTAATAGTCAATTCGGAAATCGTTGTGTTTGTAGAAATACCCAATGAAAGCTTTTGTTGGTGTATGTTGGATTTGTAGTAAAACTCAATCAAAGCAGAATAACTCTGTTGGTGACTGCTTTATTAGTAATAATCAAATCAGGAGGATTTTTGTAGGTGATGTTATATTTGTAGTAATAGATAATTCTGTCAAAATCAAATCTTTCATCTTGGTGATCATCCATCGGAACCAAAATACTACTACTACCTCCTCCTGAGGTCACTCAAGTATGAATGGATCAGGTCGCCATCGTGTCACATTCCAAAGAGATGACTGTATTACTATTTCGGATGTACTCCGTAATGGACATTCTACCGCTCTTGAGATCAAGCAACGACTTCAATAAGTAAGAAATTTTAATAAGTTTACACACTGTAACGCAATTCAGAAGCTGGATAACGCGCAAGAAGGTCTGTTACTGAGAAGGTTTTGGCAAGAACAGCTTGGTTAAGCTTTGCAGGAAGTTACATCAATTGGTCTGAGCAGGATGGGACTAAAATCTTGTTTTCCGATGAGTGAGGTTTTGTTTGCGGTCTTTTGTCAGCAGAGTTAGAGTTTGGAAGAGAACAGGAGAGCGATTTATTTTCGCAATGTTTTCAACCCGGACAAGCTAGGGAGGTGGTGTTGTTATGGTTTGGGCAGGCATTTCTGTGGAAGGTCAAACTAGATGGTCATCGAGGCTTCCTGAAGTAGGTTCTCCACCCTCTGATTGTGAGATGACTTAGAGTGATGGCGGAAATTTTATACAAGTACCCCATCGATCCCAATTTAGATTAGTTTAGTAAAAAAACAGGTAGACGGAGTAATATCGAGTACTCCAACTAACGAACAGAATGAGTGCTATCAATATATATAGGTCTGAATGTATTTATTGGTGTGACAATATATTGAGTTTGTGTTGCAATATTTTACTTCCGCTCCGGGCTGAAATGACCTAGCTGTCGAATGCCCCTGCAAAAAATTATTTTAAAACTGACAAGTAGTACTCCGACACCATCATTTTATAATTGGCGAGTACTAAACAGACATGGTAACTAACAAAGACCTCGAAGAACAAAATTGTCTATAACCTTAGAACTGACTATTATGGTAACAACACTATCATAATTAGCTTATAGTATAAAGATATGGTCATTAATAAATACCTAATTTATTTGAATTGAATACTAGTGCAAAAACAAGTATGTTGCTACATACGTTTTACTCGTTATACAGTCTAGTGAAATGTCTATTACTGCAAAGACATGAGGACCAGTAAAGGCTTGAACTCGAATGAACTATAGTGAAATGAACTAGTACTACAAAGACATTTGCACCAACAAAGAAAAGAACTATAGCGAATTGACTATTACTACAAAGAAGTTAGCTTCAACAGAACAAAAATACTGATCGATAAACGATCCAATTAAACCACTAGATTCATTCGCCTTTTCATCTGATTCCTTGAAAATTACGAACGCGAGCGACGAACCACTGAAGATGAAGAAGAAGAAACGTTATAAAAGGCCAAATTAACAATAAATAACAATTGATATTAAAATGTAAGACATTTGCACAAACGAAGAATTGAACTATTGCGAATTGACTATTACTACAAAGAAGTTACCTTCAACAGAACAAAAATATTGATCGATAAACGATCAATTAAACCACTTCAATCATTCGCCTTTTCATCTGACTTCTTGAAAATGACGAACGCGAGCGACGAACCACTGAAGATGAAGAAGAAGAAACGTGATAAAAGGCCAAATTATCAATAAATAACAATTGATATTAAAATGTAATAAATAAATGTAACAATTCTTTTTTGATCAGAAATTTCATTATTATTAGTGATAGTTTTTTTTTATAGTAAAACATATTAAATTTGTTTCTATAATATAAACTTTAATTATTTTCAGCTTCTGACGCAAGTGGGCGATATTCGTCGCAATTTTTTTTCGGAAACGATTTTTGGCTGGGATCACAAAAGCTGTGCTCTGAGATAACACCTGAGGCGCCTTTCCCTGTCGCCTTCCATCTCGTCAAGTTCAGCCTGGTGCTCGACAAGGAATTCACTCCCAAGGTAACTTTGATATTATTAAAATTCAACAGCCCTACTGTTGACTGGGTGTTGAACACGAATTTCGCCCAAGCCGTCTGTCTCGTTTGTCATTAATGTCGGTTCGTCTGAGGAAGCCCGCAACACCTGACGTTTATAGTTTCTGTCATAAACCGTTATTAACGATTTTAATTAATTATTATCAGGCCCAGTTCGTTGTCTTTTTGGGGATAAAACTACCGTTTGTCATCACTACCGTTTATTATGATCAATACAGAAATATTTCAATTACTAGTCAAACAAATCAGCCCAAATTACTCTCTTCCTTTCAGTGTTTTTAAAAATTCACTAGTTTTCGTGGTCCGCTTGACCAATTAATATCTTTCAATTAATTAAGGTTTTTAATTGAGATAAAAAGTCAGTGTCACGGGCGGGATTCGAACCCACGACCTTCGGCTTGATAGGCCGCTGCTCTACCACTTGAGCTATCGTGACCTCGATCCACTCGGACACTAACTTCCGTTCTCAACCCCACCTTGAAAAATGGCAAAAAGGAGGAAAAATTCAAAAGGGGTTGAGATAGGAAGTTAGTGTCCGAGTGGATCGAGGTCACGATAGCTCAAGTGGTAGAGCAGCGGTGTATCTATCCGAAGGTCATGGGTTCGAATCCCGGTCGTGACACTGACTTTTTATCTCCACTAAAAATCTTAATTAATTGAAAGTTTTTAAAAATAAATAATTTGTTTAGATATAAAATATGACATACATCAAAATATTAGTTGTTTTTATTTGGATTTTTATCAACGGTCGAATGACGTTCCTAGTATTTTCATTCCAAAAACTGCTTTGAAAATTATTGGAATGAGGTTTGGTAATGGAAAGAAATTTGATGCTCGTTCACCGCCAAGGGGAAAACTCGAATTGCACAAATTTGACAATGAAAAAAGTTGAAAATGCTTAAATTATTGAGACGCTAAAGATTTATTTTTCCATTTTAAATCTAATTGACTGAAGAACATTAGAAAGATTATCCTAACTCGATGTTTAAAATCCAAAGTTGATAATTACTATAAAAACACCCTACCAAACCAAATTACACTAATTTTTGAACAGAATATATTAATTAAAAATCTAATTTCGACAAGGACTGAAAACCCCATCAGTAACAAATCTCCTCCAAATGAATAATGAAACTATGTACATGTTTCTGGAACAACATAAATATCTAATATTGTATACTAACCGAATTTAATTGGCGACTACTGAAATTACTAAATCATCAACGAAAATGACTAATAGTACAATCAAACGACAACAATAAACAGTGTCGTGATTAAATATTTCAACAAAAACACTGTCGCTAAAATGTGGCTTATTTATTTTGCCTAAAAAACTATTACGTTAGCAAAAAAGAAAAATATTACTAGAATGACTTCTGGTATAAAGACACTATGAACACTAGATAATCAACTATTCCTATAACACCAGCAAAAGAGATCAAAAACTTTTATCTTTATTTTCATTGACGCTATCGTTAGTAAAATATTACTTACTAATTGATGTTTAAATTGACTATAACTACAAAAACTAATGTAAGTGATAAATGAAGACCTCATTACTCCAAACTGTCTATAATCACATTAATACCATCACGAAAAAGGTCCTCGGACTTACTACTCCTTAATACACTACAAACACACAAAACCCCAATAGTCAACAACAACAAAAACACTGACACTCACCACAAATATTGCCAAATAGACTATTACTACAAAAAAATTGCACCAGCAAAGTCTTTAATTAAGCTTAAATTACAAATAGTACGATAACATTGACCCAAACAAGGACTTGAACTAAGGTGAATTAATATTACTACAAAGATGTCGGCATCAACGGACTTGAAAATGGCAAATTGACTATTACTACAAAGACATTGGCATCAACACAACTGAAATGTGGTGAATTGACTAGTACTATTACTAGTACTAGTACTATTGACACATTAGCATCAGCAGAATTTGCTTATGATGAAATGACTACTTCTGCAAATACGTTGGCATCAATACACTACAAAATGGTAAATTGACTAATACTACAAAGACATTGACTTCAACAAAGAAATGAACTATAGTGAATTGATTTTTACTACAAAGACATTGGCATCAAAAAAGGCACGAAGAAAATATCTATGTACATCTGAATTGACTATTACTCCAAATGTAACGTCACAACAAAGAACCAAAAACTTAACATTTAGCTGTAACTATAACGACACTCGGTTAGGTTTCATGATCCGATTGACCAATTAAATTCTTTTCAAATATTTAATGTTTAAGTAACGTAGTTGAGATGAAAAGTCAGTGCCACGAGCAGGATTCGAACACACGACCTTCGGCTAAATACGCCTCTGCTCTACCACGTGAGCTATCGTGACTTCGATCCACTCGGATACCAACTTCCCATCAATCTATTTGATTCTCGGAGACAAATATATTACATACAATATATTATTTGAAAAATGGCAAAAAGGAGGGCAATTTACAAAAAAAGGTGAGGTTGAGATGGGAAGTTGGTGTCCGAGTGGATGGAGTGGTAGAGCAGCGGCGTATTTAGCCGAAGGTCGTGGGTTCGAATCCCGCTCTTGGCACTGATTTTTTTATCTCAACCAATACCTTACTTATAATGACACTGTTCCTAACAAGAACCGAATTTCAGAGTTAAATATTTCTTAATACACCATCACAAATCCATGACTTCCTTAAAATTGATTTTTACTTCCAATTTCACTAACAAAGTCCAAATTACTCATTAATTCCTTATATCTACAACAACTGCCAACAACAAGACCCAAATAATCCCGAGTAATGGTATTAGAAACGTATTGTTGCTTAGAAAGACCAATCTACATTAGAAGTAGCTATACCAATTAATTTTTCGAAAATGTCTACTGTTGATACTATCACCATGAAAGTCCTAGGATCTTGCTTATTCCTCGATTGATTACAAAGACCCAAAGACGTAGTATAATGACTACACGACACTGTCAGTAACAAGAACAATGGACTGATTATTGCAACTGCTTCCTGCAAATAATTGAATACCACAGAATGGACCATTTAGTCATTAAGGCAACGTCAGCAAAAAGATCTAACTACCTACAAGAACCGAACTATCCTGTATTGACTATTACGACAAAGATATGAAAGACCTGAATGCCTAATACATATTCTGCAATGACAACAAGAACTTAGTAATCAAATACTCTGAATTGACTATTACTAATAAAATAACGTCACCAATCGAGAACAAAAAACGAAATATTTAACTATAACTTATAAATATCGAATCATCAAGTCCGAGGAATTATCAAATTATGTAATAAATGATTGTTTTATGCTCAGCTTTTAAGTTGTTTTGAAAGGGTAAATACTCCTGAATCTTTAGAAAAAGTTTAAAATATTTGTTAACTTAAGTTTTAGTTATCTTTTGATCTTTATGTGATTTCTTCTTGAAGTTTGTGATGATGAACTTATAGTGAACTTCGATATCTGAGCTCAAATAATAACTTCAGTTGGTCCACAGGCCGCATTACTACCCTGTGTACAAACTCTCAGAAAAAAGAAGGTTACATGGAATGAACAGGCGGTGAAAGGAACCGAAATCCATAAAGGACTGCGTTGCCTGTGTAAATGGTGCTGCAACCGTGAATTTTCAGCATTGCAATATAGTACTTCACAACACTTACACCACTCTAGTAATCTTTTAAAAATTACTAAGCCTTCCAAATAGCAAAACAGTGCAAGCTATTTTTTTCCAGTGCACGAACAGACGAAACTCTAATTCATGTTGTGTATGAATTATGTATAGAATACATTAAAAAACTTGAAAGTATAAAATTATTGAGGTTATTATGAAACACAGGATTAGTTTTTATTTTTAATACTGTTAAAGTTAAATTGAAGTTCGTTATAAACAACCGCATATAAGAAAAAATGAAGCAACACATTGCGAAAATTTGTGAAATTTTTGGATCAAGGACAACAAGAACTATAATTTACAATTATTTTTAGGCTTGATAAATCACTTTTAAACTGAACATTTACATTGGTTTTAAAAACGCAAACTATACTTGAAGTAATTATGGTATTGCAAAAATTCATTTCTAGGGTAATTATTTTTAAATTGGCCCATGACAGACTTCACGATTTAAATTTATTACATCTATTTGGTTTCCTGGTCCGATTGACCAAATAAATTCTAAAAAAATGGCAAAAAGGAGCGAAAATTCAAAAGGTGGGGTTGAGGTGGGAAGTTGGTGTCCGAGTGGATCGAAGTCACGATAGCTCAACTGGTAGAGCAGCGGCGAACTTAGCCGAAGGTCGTGGGTTCGAATCCCGCTCATGACACTGACTTTTTATGTCAACCAAAACCGTAATTAAAGATTAATTAATTGAAATTAAAATTTATATTCACAAGTGTAAGTGTTCTTATAAGTACATTATTAAAGCTCTATTTAGAATTCTATTAAAAATAATTATTATTAATGTGTTAAACTATTACAAAATGCAAACATTTTGAAATTCACAATTGGAAATAATTGTTCATGATTGATTTACTGATTTACTAAGTTTTACTTTTACTAAATACGCTTCGGCATTACATCATAAGAGAATGTCAAAACTGCAGGGTCAAATTGTTTGAGCAAGAATATTTTTGAAAAAAAATTCAGTTTTCGAAGAGAATATTTTTCATTACAGTATTAAGATTATGGAATTTATTTATAAATTGTTTGCCAGCGTAACTCGCTTGCTATCGCTTTTTTGGTTTCTTTTTTCTTTTTTTCTCCAATGATCCAGAATAATTACATATGAACGGCTGAATTTCTCTTGAACCAATGACGTTACAAAAAATACGTGTTTACTATTTTTTAACTACTATTTCACACTTTTACCTTTTTTGGAGAAATAATTGTACAGGGTACATCAGAGCCAGTTCAACCTCAAAATTGCAAATACGACCCTATA